TTTTAAAAATTTTAGTTTAATGAACAATTGAAAGTCGATAGATCAATGCAAAAACATAACTTTTGCATCCGTTACACCCACACGTGACAGGTACTGGACCTGCGCCAACCATGATGCGGCTCAAGCAAATATGCTCAATCGGCAGGTTAATAATTTGACCGCATTCGGAATAATGGGGTCACGAAATTAGCGCAAATTTGTAAAACCTCTGCTACCAATTAAACAACAAATAAAAAAAAAAATAAAAGGAAAACCAGGGTAAGTTATTTCATTTGAAATTAAATTGTTTGATAAACTGCATATACAAAATTCTTCGATTCCAACAGCGTATCACGTTAATTTGTCTTTCATGTTTACAGGTAAAGATAAATAAAAGAAAAACTAAGCCACCACAAAAGAAAACTAAGAATCGCAATACTTCAACTGTTTATTTAATTAATTTAATTAGTATAAAACTTACAAAAATATCGTCATATCATGAGTAACGTTCGATGCGCCATTCACTCGATTGCGAAAAGTTCTGACGAGGGAAAAGCTCGTGAAGCACTACAAATGAAAGATTCATAAGCGAAATATTTGACGTACCTGTACCGTGAAAGACAAGAAACTTAGAATATTCTTCGTTCGAATGGATGACGATTGGGAAATATTATAAAAGCTCTTCGATGTTAAACGGAGAAAGATTTGTGGCGCGGATCGCGCGCCCATCTTACTCACTTCTCTAGGACTCACCGAGCATGGTAGTTACTTGCAGTGTTTCATCGTCTTGGCACATGCGCGATGACACAACCTACCCCAGGTAGATACAGATGACCTTCAGCGGCCACAGAGGAGAGGGTGAACAAATTTGAACCACATTTTTTTCTTTTTTTCAGCACACCCACGTTAGAAGAAATATCGTGACGTTTATGCAGTAAAAACCTTGAATCTTTATATATTTATATAAACTTTGATTAATTATTAATATCTTTAATATGATCAATAATACGATCGTAAAAGTGAATATTAGGGTAAGATGATCGATGAGAAACTCTATGTAATTATTTCAATGTACATACTAAATATACGTCCTAGTGCTGTCGTGTTATAAATGTAATGTTCTGTTAGAGGTAATTTTGAAACGTGTAAAAAAACAATCTATCGATATATTCTAATCGAATTAAGATTATAATTGAATACTTATAAAAGATAAATCTATAAGATAGTAGAAATGAAAATGTTTATCTTATTAATTATATCTTAAGGTAGATCATGATTTGGAAGATCTTGGAGTCGGTCTAAAATCGAGTTACCCTTTCGTGCGTCAGAAAGGCGATCGATGGATTTGGTTGCCTCGGCAACGCGCGAATACCGCTGGAGGACCGTCGCAGAAGCAAAAATACGGATGGCGCGAGTATCCGTGTGCTGGAGGAAAAGGGGTTGTTAAGGTGGTGGAGAGAAACGAGGAGGAGGAAAAAGAGAGACGTCGACAACGCGACAACGACGACTACGGCGAGAGTACTGAGTGGAAGTGGTAATGGTGGTAGTAGTTGAGGTGAAGGAGGTAGAGGAGAGATTGGCTGATCGACTCTGATCAACGCTAACGATGCAGTGACAAAGTCAGCTACGGAAGAGAGAGGACGTTTCTTTTACGAGTCCTCGCGAATCCTTTTATCGCGCAGTCTCGTGTTAGTCCACGCGTTCCTCGACAAATAATCATCGTCTTCGAAGCTGATTATCACAATTAATTTGAACGCACAACACAACGTCGCATCAAAAAGACAGATTATTATTGTGCGATGCCACGGAGGCCAACGTCCCTCCGCAGAAGCAATTTAATATTAGTCGAATCATCAAAACGGAAGGGACCACTAAGCGAGACGTCAATGACGCTAGGATGTACACTGCAAACGGCGAGAGGAAAGAACGAAACTCGCCAGAAAATCTTTTCCTTCGAAGATGGGCCGACATGCCAAGACATCTTCAATTTAATCCCCACATACATACTGGCTACAGGCCTCTCATGACCGCCCGTCAATGTATTGGTAGTCTCTTTTATATCCACAATGAGACCGTCAACATCATGACGCATGGTGAGCTCCTCCTCTTATTAGACCTATCAAAAGCTTTCATATATCTTATTAATTCTCGAAGAGACTTGTAAAATTCACTTCTTTTCTTTTTTATATGCTTGCTTCTATTTATTTATCTCTTTAATCAAAATAATTCTAATGTACCGAGTAAGTGGTAGCATCGAGGAAATGACCGTGAATACGATCCCGAGGAATCAATTACACGCTTGGTAACTAAGCTGCATTGATTTTGTCCTATATGTATCATATATTGATTTATAGATTTTTTTTCTATGTCGAAGTATAATAGCACACGAACAATTTATTCGGACAAAGTGGACGATCTTAAAAAGTAAAGTAACTATATCTTGCCGTCGTACCACTTGACATTTCCGATATAAATCAATGCATATTAGAACAATTTTAATTTGATCAGTATTCAAGCAAATTACTGATAAGTCATGTAAATATACGTATCATTGAAATAGCAGATTTAATAACGAGAGATAAGCATATATATTAAAAATGAATTACAATAGAAAAAACGAGATAATCGATAAAATGATCGTTAAAATGTTGTTGGCTGGAATTTTGAAACAGATAAGTAAAAGAAAAAAAAATGGCATACCACTAAAAATAAATAATCAATTTGAGAAAGTAAGAACATCCAATGACGTAGTCGCATCTAATCAGTCTTTGATTAAAACAATAAAAGAAATAAAAAAGCTTATCATTCGACTTATAAAATATCATATATATATATATATATATATATATATATATATATATATGTATATATATAATTGGATCAAATATAAATTCAGGATTAAGGTCAAGGTGCATTACTAGTCGAGACTTCCGTATAATCATTTGTTCTTCTGACAAGGACGCAATGCAGGGTGACGGTCAATCGATACGACAGTTATTAAGAATTATATAAAATGAATAAAATATTAATAAGTATAAGTACCACTCGTAGTGTGTTAGATTATTACTGTTTTAAATAGAAGAAAAGAAAATTGCTATTGATTAACGTATATTTACATGGAACATTGAAAACTAGGTCAAATTTTGTTTTTTTCATAATGAACGCTAAAAATATAAAAACTATTGTCAAGTCATTTTTGTTCTAGTTTGAATAAATAAGAAAATAAAATATTATATTATTTTTATCTTCTAGGTTTCGCAATTTTATACATGTTGTGGACCATACCTCGTTGGCTTCCATGGCACACGCAAGGAATACTCGGAGCAGTATTATCTTGGTGTCACTTGATAGGGGCAGTTAGTCCGTGGATCGGATCCTTTATTTATCATGTTTTCATGAACGTTAATTATGACGAAGCCTTTTATAGGTCGCTATTAAGACTCGACATGATCGGTATTTGGCTATGTCAAAGTTTCGGTAATTCTTGTCACGTTAGAATATACTATCTTCATTAAACTAATCGATTTATCCGATCTTTTTTTTTTCTTCATTCTTTCAACTGGTTAGAAAAAGATAACAAAATATCCATTTTTTATTTCAGGAGCTATTCCAATGATGGCAGCATCGGTTCATTGTTTGCCAGATAATCAATGGTACTGCTGCATTTTTATTTACTGCTTCCTCAGTATATGGGGTCTTTTAAAGGTAATGTATAAGTGTTGTTATATTAAATATGGACATGGGATATTAGAAAATATCAACCTATTTGTTGGGACACATTTGTAGGCAATGCACGCGAGATCTCCGTGGGAAAGGAGACTATGTTTTGCACCTCCTTTCTTGATGAGAATGTTCATAATGACCTTGAGGTGTTTCGGTATCGGTGGTGGTTCACCCAAAGCTTTAACTCATATCGTCTTACAGGTATTTCTATTGATTTTTTTTTTTTTATATCAATCTTTATCAAAACTGATAGTCATGGATTTAGATAAAAAAAAGAAAAATAATTTGAATTTCGCGTGTGTACTATAGGATTTAATAGCAGTAATAGGTGCGATTGTTGGTGCTCTTCGTATTCCTGAAAAATGGATGCCAGGAAAATTAGATTTCATGTTGAATTCTCACAACCTGATGCACGTATTGGTCGTTCTAGCAGTTTGTTCAATGCATGCCGCCACCGTTGAGGATCTAACTTGGATTGCTGATAAGTCTACGTGTAATGAAATAAGCGCATCTTCGATGATAAAAGAAGAATTGTGATCGATTCGCAATAACGTCATTTTGCGATAGTCTGTGATAAGATACAGCTGGTAAATTGTTCAATGCAATTGCGTAAGGGATTCTAAGAATGTTGGAAATATTTCGTGATCGATACATATGTGGTTCAAAAAGCAATATATATCTTAACGGAAGTTCATTTTAAATGCTATCTGATAGTATTTTCGGATCGTATGTTCAGGATTTTCGAAGTACAATTGCAAGTACAAAGATATATGTATACTATATATATTATGCCATATATAATATATATTGTTTCGATATCGATAATGGATATGGTGACTTAGTATAATATATATAAATATACTGATACATATATATATATTTATATATATTACACGAGCATCCAAATTCATGTTAATATATGACTTCGAAGTCACGAATCACGCAGCAGGATTGCGGATTTAATAAGAAAGGGGAATAAGAGTCTGTTAAGATGATATGTTTTCTAAATAACAAAAAAACATTCTAAGCACATCAAAAATATGTTTATTGTACGATTGTAATTATCGATATCATCATCTACCAATGTCCAAAACGTTTCCAATTTCTCATTTCTATAAATTCTTACACTTTACTATACCAAATCCGATATTTAGACAAATAAAATTGTTCAAAAATATGGATGTTCATTGCATTCCGTCGATATCATCGTCATCGTCATCATTTATATCGCTCAATTATATACAGTATTATAGTTTTTTTTCTTTTCTTTTCTTTTTTCGACTTGAATTCTTTTTTTCAATGAGCTTATTTTGAAACAATATTTAATAGCCATATAGAGTAGATGTAGAGCAGATCAATCAAATAGAATTTTCAACTTCTTTGACATCTATTAAATAGTTAGCTTTTGTGTATTATAGAGCTAATTAATGTGTATTAATACTTTTGTGAGTTTCTTTTTACGTGCATGTACTTCAATTGAAAGTATATTGCAAGTGTTAGCTCACTTTATAGTTTGACGTAATTTTTAGTGATCGCGTGATATGCCAAAATTTCAAATAACAGATATATATACATATACATATGTATGTATATATATTTAAACGTATTATACGATCACTATTAAAATTGTAATAATTATTTTTTGCGATATAGACCGTGCAATTTTGTAATTAAATTAAAATGATATAACACTTCATATATAAGCACCTAATTTTAAAAGCACATAAGGCACCATTTATGTGCTTAAAGCAATAATAAATTATAATGACAAATTATACATAGATATATTAATATATTAATATATATATATATAAATAGATTTAACGAAAAATAATATCTAAATCAATAACGATAAAAATTATTTTTACATTTACAATATTCAGATATTACGAAACTTTAAAAAACATACACCGCTAATTATTAAATAATATAAGTAATCAGCGTAGTCTTGCTCTAATGCTTTTCTGTAACTTAAATTTTATGTTTCGAATATATTTAAGAAAATGATATTATATCACACGACAATATGTCATAGGACAGTTTCCTTTTTAAAGATTTTAAAGATTTTAAATAGTAACATTTGACAATGAACGTTTGTAGAAGAAATTTGTAATATTTAAATTGATCTTTTGTTATTCTTATGTTATTTAAATTGTTATCAATATACTCTTCTTACCAAATTTGATTGTTGAGTGATTTTTATTACTGCAACGGAGCCTCACTTTCCTGAGTATAACTCTTAACTCTGCTAAACTTAAATGGTGGGTATCTTCCGTTAAAATTCATAGCGTTGTCACATGATTCCTGTCCATTTCTATATACAGTAAATATATTATATCTTATCCATGACAGTTGTGAATTAATCCTTCTGTGATGATTTTGAATTTCGAACTCCTAAAAGATAACGTTATTATTTTTCTTTGCTTAACAACAATTATCGTTGCATATATTGCATAAGTTGTAACAAAACAAAAAAAGGATTTACAGCATGAAATGTTTGTTCTCCGCTATCGTGAAGAGCCTCTCTTCTCCTTCTACGACTAGTATTATTTGTCTTGGTATCCTGTCTTTTGAGTACCAACGTAACACAATTATCGCATAATCTGTAGTGCCCTATCAATACTGAAGAATTTCGTGGGATGCGATTTTTTAAACTATTAACAGAGATTTGTGCTTCATCCGTAGATGTTAGCATGAGGACTCTTCCTTCGGGGAAAAATCTATGTAATGAAAGGAATATTAAATGTGGAGGGAAGGAGGGAGGAAGATATTTCATTATAATTCATAATGTTTATATTAATAACTCACTGCTAATTTACCTCAGGTACCTGAAGTATTCAACCAAATGCCAATGTTTATAAAATTGATCTTGAAAACTGTTTTCTCCCTGACGAATATAGCTTGTTTTACTGATATAACATCCATTATATCTTAATCTAGGCCGTTGTACATACATGTCTCTCCATGATTGATATTTTGGATAATAAGTTCCGCAATTGACACCCCATACCCTAAAAAAATGACAATGAATAAACAAAATATTATATTATCAATAATATCATATAAAGATAAAACTATTTAATATTATTTATTTGCCTGATACAAGCGAGTCTCCATATTTCTGGATCTCTTGCAGATATATAAAATCCACGACATACTTTAGAGAACATTTCCAGTGATCTTAAGTCAAGTTCTAAAGAAACAACCCATCGTAAAATGTAAAGTATTATCTCCATTGGTAAAGCAGATATATGTGTTGTCTGAAAAAGAAATAATATCAAAAAATAAATTATATATTCTTCATAATTTTATAAAATATGTTGAAGTATTCTTAAAAAAAAATTCTCACCATTTGTTCAAATTGTGGAAAGCAAACGCATTGATTGCGGTTGATAATTCTAGATAATTTTACAAATAGATCTCTTTCATCTTTATCTTCTTCTTCTTCATCTTCTTCATTATTATCGGTGTTACGTGCATCATTCTCTATACTCTCAAGATTATCATCCGATTCAAATCTTTCTCGTGTTTTAATTTTAGTAGAATCATATAAACGAAATTCAATATCAGGAACTAGTTGTACGGCACGCTTATAAGATTGAATTGCTTCATACAACTTTCCATTTTGTTCGTGCTCTACACCTTTGAGGAATAAATTCTTTGCCTAAAAACAATGATGGACTTTAACTATTGACTTAAAAAATGTTACCGTTCTTTTAAGCGTATATTTTACATACTTTATTTTCGATAGACTGTGAATCATCTTTGAATTCCTCCGTATTGACAGACCAGGTAGAATGTGTTTTAGATGTATCCCGTTTTGGTGATAATTCCAGTTCGCGTTGCCACTGCTCTCTGAAAGATGTTAACGCATCTTCAACGTTGTGTTCATTAGAAAAAGAAGATGCTTCTTGATCATCTCCACCCTCATCCGAATCATTACTCGTACCTCCAATGTTACTCTATATAAAGAAATAATTAAACAATTAAAAATGATATTGTAAATAATGACAATGTCATACAAAACTATTGCTCTAATGAGTAGGCATTTAAACTATTCATAGGTTATGTTGACTGTCATAACTATGTCTATGAAATGTACTATTATAAAATAATGTCAAGTGAAAAAAAGTATAAATCATATTTACCATTGTTTATTCTTAGTCAATTTTTAATATTTAACTTCAGCGCTTGAATTCTCGATCAGAAAAGCGTACAACACAGCGAAAGCACAGTTTTGCAAGAGCAATCGCCGCCATGGTTCTTCTCTGACTGCACTCAGTAATGCCAAGACGTGAGATTTTTCCCACGCATGCGCACTGTCTAACCCTTAGTAAAGTATATACTTCATTTAAATATGGGGTATCATTAGGTCCCCGTGATAATTAAAATACGGTAGAAATTACAGAAAAAGGACATTTTTTTTAAAGATATAACACATTTACACTACAAAATAATATATTATATAACATTACGCGTCTCACCTTTACTTTAACGAAAAATACGAGAAACGACTGGAAAAGGCTCCTTACGCGTACCCACTGTTGCATATAGACACGTCTATGGAAACACCGCCGTCGCAGTGCGTCTATACGCATGCGTTGTATGCGCATGCGCACGAAGGCTCCCACGTGGGAGATCCGTGCTGCTACTACGCTGCTACGCGCGCGCGCGTTTCCCGTATTTACTATGTAAGGTTATACTATCTTTTACTTTCTTTTTTCATTCTCTCTCTCTTTTTCTAGCATGATGTAATTGCAGTGATTATTGATAGTATAGAAAGTTAAAAATATATGCTTAATTAAACAATATAAAAAAGAAAAATTGTATCATATTCAAGCACTTTTAATATTTGATACATTTTTATAATACATGTATACACGTATTTACTATGGCCTTTATTAAAAATGTAATCTTTAATTATACAATTAATACGATACAATACAATTATTTATAACTTGTCCAGTTGAAAATCACATATTTCCTTTAATTACTTCATTCAATAAGACATTATTTAACTGCTATTATTGTGCGAAGTTATTATAAAAATTGTCCTCCTATTCTATTACTCTAAGAATTATTTTACACAATTTCTTTTTTTTTTTTTTATTTATTTTTTCTTTTTTTTTGGGTTAACATTCCATTTCACTTTTATTTTATTTTATTTTATTTTCAATTTAATATGAAACTCTTGCAATTACATATAACACTTGATTTGTTGAATTGACTATTTAGTTAAATTAATGTTAATTGCATTCTAATGTCAATTATGGAAGAGATCCTCAATCGTCAATATTAACATTAATTCCAAACTGCATGAAATTTGAATAATTACTTATCATTACGCATGATTAATATTGTCATACTATTACGAATGTAAAGTTTTTATCAAAATTCGTATGATTATTCTATTTAATAACATATAGAAATGTTTTGATCATTTTTAACAAGATTCTTTTGTAACTAAATAGATGCATATCGAAATAGTTTTATGCAGTTTGTATAATTTAAGAACTCAGATGATAAAAGTATTATTATTATTATTATTACTATTATTATTATAATAATATGATAATCTCACTTTAAATTTGCTTTTAGCTATTATTTTATCCTTAGATATTTGATCATAACTTTTATGTATTAATAAATTTTCTCAGCTAAATTTCTCGTGTAAAAATGCTAATCTAATGATCAACCTTAATTCTATCAACTTTTTGAGTACAATTAATATTTAACTTTGGCTTTGATAAATATCCAATTCATATTAGTACTGAATAAGAAATAAATATAAAACATATTTTACAAATTCAGCAATGTCTCTTAATTAAATATAACACACACACACACACAAATTAGATATATATTTAAATATATATATAAATATGCATCTGTTGTGCGAAAATAATCTGTTATAAGTATGTAAATTCTAATATGTATTTATCTAAATTCGTAAATAATAATAATAATGATAGTAATAATAGCAATGTTTCATAAATCTTATTACATAAAGCCCATGGCCTTCGCATATTCTTGAAATAAATATAAATTTGAGATTGCATGTTAATGTTTCACACATATTATATTATATTATATATATATATAATTTTAGTGATGTACATATATTAAGTGTACATCATAATTAACTATATCTGTTTTGCATGTATCGTATTCTACTCATTTTTACATATTATTGTTTTAAATTCCAAAAATTAGTATATGAAAAATCTATAATAAATAACTTCACATATTTAACAAATAATATGTTACAATCTATCATTTACATTATGTTCAAATGTTACTATATTGTAAATGATATAACAAAGTATTTTGTTATACACTTCTTTAAATACTATGATAATCCATAGCCATTTTCTTTATCTAACATATAATATGGTTTTAAGTTAAAACTGTTCAAGTACAGTTTTTATTGACATTATAAAAATGAATTATGAAGCCTTCTATAATGCATATAAAACTCGTTAGATTACAAGATATGTAACAGTCAATTAAAAACATAGAAAGCATTATCAAAACATATTTATATATATGTAAGAACAATTGAATTTCTTGCTTCAAAAATAAACTAAACAGTATCCTCCTGGTCTAATATTATAAATCGATAGTTTATATTAAATCAAAATTGAATAAATTTTTTTTAACCAATTTAAGAGGCAATTAGTATTATAATAAATTAATTACAGTTAAAATTTTTTGTAGATGCTTTAGTACTGTTCCCTTGCTTCTGAGAATCGCTATCCTCATCACTGCAGTCTTCGTCATGCGTATGTGTCACATTACGCGGTGTTTCAGGTCTTGCATGTGGAATTTGACTATTTAAATGATCCACGTACATAGTTTTCTACAAAAAGATAAAAAAATTCAAAACATAGTAATCATTTTTTGTTAATAGGATCATATATAACGATTGTGCGTTTTAATATTTACAGCGGTCGGCCGATTTTGTTCTTCTTCTTCTTCGGAAAGTTTAAATGTTCGTGATCGACTGATCATAGGTGTTTCCATTACAAATCTTTGTTCGTGAGCAACCGTACTTTCATGTGGCATCTTAAAATAATAATAAAAATAAAACTCAAATTTATATTAATTATAAATTTGAATATTTAAATAAAAATATTGAATGAATACTTACAAGCATAGAAGGTGCTCTGAACATATACGAAAATGGATAGTAAATCAGATTAAGGAAAGTTGCGGCATATAAATCTGCATACCTCACTACTTGACTACTGAAAAATGTCTGCCTACTTCCACTACGAAACAGTGATCCCATCATACCATATGCTAAATCCATTTTGTGCGTGACGTCTCTTATGGAAGCACGAAGTTTCGATATATCGGGCTTTTCCTTTGTGCTACTATCTAAATTTCTAAAATGGATCAAATACGCGCAACGTTAATAATTTTGAATACTTTCAAATATTATGTTTTCTTTTTTTTTTCAAAATATTATTTTAGTATTTATATAATAGTCAAAGAAAAAAGAAAAGAATTTATTATATTTACTTGTACATTTCCCCTAGCATTACATCTAAATTTTGCAATTCGGCAAACAATTGACATTTGTCTGTCCATACATGTAATTCTTGAACTAATTCCGGCACTATCAAAAATGTTCTCCATCCTCGAATCTTTTTACTCTTCAAAATATCACCAAATATGTGATCGCCGACATATAATACATCTTTACCTTTCGCACCTATTAATTCGGTAAAAACATCGCAAGATCCTCCCGAATAGACTTCACCTATAATAAATAATATTTTAATAATATTGCATATATATTATTAGAATAAATTACATATGATTTTATGATAGCAAAGAAACTTACCAGTATGAAGAGGGCCTTTATGTGTTCCAAGTTTTAAAGCACCAGTTTTAGTATCTACCTGTCTTAAAATCGTACCTTCTCCAAAAAACAATGGTTTCCTAGCGTCAACAACAATAGTGTCGAAATACGTTTTCCAATTTCGGTGTGGTTCATCAGGCTACAAAAATATATATTAAAGTTAAATTAATAATTATTCTCATTTTTTTGTTTTATATTATTTTAATTAAATACAAATTAATAACGTACCCTTGCGCCATGGGAAAAATCAAACAAATAGGTCATGATTTTATCGGTAAAAACATAATCGCTATTTGTTAATAAAAATAATTTAGCACCACTTTCTCTAATACGCGTAAGAAACATTGGTAATCGTTCATCTTTTTTAACATATTCGTCCAAGTTCTCTATAGTTTTACTTTTTAAATCCCCATGCAAGTGAATCCAATCAACTGCATTTCTTACATCTTGAAAAATACTTTTAAAACTCATAGTAAGTTCACCTTCCTTAACACCTGTTTTTTCTCGAGTATATTGTGGAGAATTTGTGAAGAAATCTATTAGGCATGCTAAGAAATAAGTTTCGGGCAAATTAAAAAGTGTATTCAAAACGTATACCCTTGATTCGTCCAGTTGTAAGAATTTATTTGGATATAATTCATAAACTTGTGAGCTAAAAGATCGTACAAAAATAAATAAATTAATAATAATAATAATAATAATATTATTATCATTATTATTATATACTAATAATATTACATTAGAATAGATTTTTTGTACTCACTGTTTTAAAAATTCAAATCCATGCACACAGACTAAAATATTTCCATAAGCATCAACTTTCAATAAGTTTCCATAAAGAGTATCAAACCATAGGCCTCGTACAGGAAAACTCGGATCATATTCAAACGCTTTTATTTCTCGTGGATATCCCAAAGATACTAAACGATCTTTTAAAAGATTAAATCCAAGCTGTTCGTATTGCGGAGATTTATATTCTAAACAAAAATATAAATTAATACGTGAGACTTTGATCGTTCGTTTTTTACCATTCTAAAATAAATACTAACCCGCCAATGTATAATCCATATCAAATCCATAAAATTTAATATTTTCTAAATGGAGACTTCGGTTAACAAAGATCCTGTAACAAACAAATTGATTTTTTTTCAAATTATTTAATTGTCCAACAAATCATTGTGGCTATGTTTCTTTAACATTTTTTTTTTTTTTAAATATCATTCTCGTTAATCCATATTTATTATATTTCTGACCTATTTGCAGCAATTTTTCTAGCCATCATGCTAACAGTCCCCAAACACTCTATTCGATCAGATGTATCAGCTGCATTTATACCGAAGGTTGGATATCTAGCAAAATCAGAATCGCTCATTTGTCGTGGTGATTTATCGTTGCTACTTATGCTCCCCATGTTTTAAAAGTATCGTTTAATATCTTGACAAATATTATTAAACACCGAATCAATTTTAAATGTTAAACGAGAATGATACGATTTGGTTAAGAGGATTACGTATATAAATATATATAGTCAAAGATAAATTGACCAACTTTATTGTTTATTAAATTCATTGAAATATTTTCTATTATTTCTTTCATTTATTTTTCATAAACATCTATGATCAGTATCGCTATGAGATTAGTATCAATGCGTTTGTTTTTAATGGATCTTACGAATGTAAATGAAATTTTCTTTAAACGAATAATTCTAACGGGTGACTTACTTGATTGGAAATTGTCGTCCATGATTAGGGATACCTGTTTGTGGTACCGAACACTTGCTTATACTTTCTAACCACATTTTTCACAATATCATATCAATGTTGCATTCTTGCTATCACATACATCAATTTAATTAAACTATTATTAGATTACTATGAAAATTATTTACTCGAAAGATTTTTTTAGTAAAAATACAAATATATATATATATATATATATTAAGCAACATATAAATTAATTCATTTGAAAATATGTATAATCGTAATATCTTTTTCAAAACTAAATTGCAAAACTTTAATCTAAGATTCATTTAAATTCTATTGCATTACCGGTAAATCAAGCTCGATCAAAGCTAATAAAAAAAAAAAAAAATGAAAACTAGTAATTAAACCAGATATTCGATAACATTCAAACTGGTTGTTACAATGATATTTTTTTACAATTAATAGACATATAACGTCGTACATTTTTCGTGTCAATTGATCGACAAGTGAACAAGATGTAAATTAATTATGTAATGAAACTCTTAGTCGTTAGAACTTACTTTGGTTAGATCAAACAAAAACAAAAAAAAAAGAAATCGTCAAGGTTGTTCCTCGGTACGCAAGAATAAAAAAATATTCAACGAGTTGGAAAATAATTTCTAATCGATTGTGGCGAATAGGATCTCATTTGAAAGATGAAGATGATTCATATTAGTAGACTCGTTTTTTAATTAAAAATTATCTTTGGTAAACGTTATTATTAATTTTTTTTTTTTTGCAAAGAATATCGACAAATTTTTAATGAGAAAGAAACAACAGAGAAGGAGTTGCGAAATTAAAGAAATTACAAGTTGAAAAAGAGAAACGATGATCGAAAGCAACAACAAAAAATATACTTTCTAAAATGCTTCCATAATTGAAAAGTATTATGATACTAGATAAATCATTTCTATTAAAAACGTGCAAGATATTTTTGTTAATAAACGATAATTCTTCAAGTCAATGCGAGATATACTTTGACAAATAAAACAAATAAAAAAAAAAAAAGATCTCTTAAAAATACACTTTACAATTTATAGACCAAGTAACGTGGCAAAGATCATTAATTTTATAATGTAATAATAGTGATAATAATAATAATCTTTCAATTATAGTACATCATTTTATTTTCTAATTACCTTCCGAATTATTACTAGTTTTAATTACCTACAAAATAGAGATAAGATCAATTGTACAGACAACAAAAAAATATTTGCGAAATTGACTTTCTCTTTTAATCATTCTTGCAAAGATATATACCACGTGTTCGTGATATACAGGAAATGTTAATTTATTTCATTTTCCCCTCTACTATCTATCGTTTATTGCGATTACAATCTATACGAATAATAACAAGAATAAAAAAAAAAGAATATTAAAAGATAAGAAATAAATAAGGGATAATTATTATAATAGAAGGAAGTAAAAAAAATTAAAGACCTAAATCATCACCCTTTAGAACAAAATTTTGATGCAATGAATGAATTTTGTGCAAAACGATTTAAAAAGAACAAAAATTTACAATAAAATAAAAAGAAGAAGAAGTTAGTAATAAATAAAAATAAATATAAAAAAGTTTCTCTTCTACGTTACCACCAATCGATTGAAAGAAGGTAAATAAAACGTTGGCGCATAAAAAGAAAAAAAAACAGGATAAAGAATACACCGAAATTTTGGTGACTCGCGTGGAATTTAAAGACGCAACCGATCGAAGTGACACACGCATAAGCGACTAGGTATAGTAGTATTCTATATACGTCGTTGAAAAGAGAGGAAGAAAACGTGCACTCCGTTCGATGATCAAACCTCGACTGATCCCCACTGGGTCTGACGATACGGTTAATACATTACGATGAAACTTAATTCATCGTCTTCCGGATGTAAACTATTCTTTTATTCTCTCTAATCAACAGAACATTTCATATATATGTGTCTTACCCACCCTATTTTATACCTTCCTTGTTTCATACACATACGTATCCAAATTAGTATTAGTTATTTCTTATCAAGCTTGATTAATTTTCTAACAAATTGCAATTTTATTAATCATGAGAACGATCGACAAGAATTTGATAAAATTATATTATAATGTTTGGAATGATATGTTGTTTAATGTCATTCTTACAAGACATTTTTCAAACGATAATAATCCTCCTTGTTTTATTATCTTTTATTGGTAATCGTTTAAATATCGTTCTAGGGTATATATAAGTAGAGTAATTATAAAAATAAATTCATCGAAATAATTTCATTTAGTTTATTTGTTTCATATAATCATAATAAATGATTATTATTACTTTTCATTTAAATTTTGTATTCTATTTATCATTTGATTTAACGATATAAAACGATACTCTCAAACATTTACAGGGAGTTTGTAATATACAAATAGAAAGAAATATATTTATATATAATTTAACCAATGTTTACATTTAAATGAGTTTTCGAAGCTTCTCTCATATTCTCTCTCTTTCTATATTACATTGGAATAAGTTGGATATAGCAATCAACTAATGTCAATTTGCATTAATATGTTATGGAATATAATAATTCTTCTTTGGTGATTCTTTATTTATTTGTAAAGTGTATTGACACTTTATTCTATGTTTTACTCTAATGATATTATTCGAATAATTCAACTATTTTATAAAAAATACATTTTTTCCATTTGTTTTCTTTATCTAAAGAGAAGTTTGGAAAGTTTCCTATTGTAAAATGATAAATATGAAGTTTTCCGAAACGATCAATCTTGATTGATATGATTTTCGAAGAATAGTCTTTTTATTTTTTAATTTCATAATTGTTCTTCTAGAACGTTCATAAAAGGATTATGAAACGTGAATCATTATAAATATAGTTAGTTAGAAATTTAACGACGATATCATTTGATCATTTTTAATATGTTTCATTTATCTATTTAATAAAAAAGATAAAAAAAAAAAACGTAGCATACGATCAGTTGTACAAAAAATTATTCTTTTCCAATAAACATTTTTCACATTTTACGAATAAAAATAAAGTTAAAAAATGAGAGAGAGGGAGAGAGAGAGAGAGAGAGAGAGAGAGAGTCATTAAATTTAAATAACACCTTTCTTCCGGTTAAAGATAATTTTGATAATAGCTTTTATTTCTGTGTTAAACCTTGAAATACTCTTTAATTACTAAGGTATGATTAGGGCACCTACGCCTTGAATGTGCTAGTTTGAGGTATCGACTTTTGAATAAGTCGGTCAAGCACTTATACAAGAGGATGCAAGTCTTGTTCGTGTCACGGAACGGAAATTATACACTTTCGCTGCAACTCACGAAATTTATTTATCCTTCCTTCCATTTTATTTCTTTCTTTCTTCCTTTTCTTTTCTTTTTTTACTTCTCTCTCTCCTTCTCTCTCTCTCTCTCTATTTTTGCTTTTTTTCGCGAAACAACTCAATTATAAAATATTTTTACAGATTGAATCTAATCTCTCAAGTAATTTGTACAATTAATCATTTCCTTTTTCATTTTATTCTACTACGATTTTAGAATTTCGTTAATAATTTGGATGAGTAAAGATAATTAAGTTAAAATAACAATTCAACAAAAATTTAAAAACATGGAATAATCGACTTGAATTTTTATCTACAAATTCTTGACTCATTTTCTGTATATCGTAAACATAATCAAAACAGTTGTTTGTTATATTGGTATAAACATGCGTGTCTTTCTCAATTATCACTAGTGTCGATCCTGACATATCACGATTGCATGTTTCCTATTTCCGAGATAGTAAATAGGAAAAAAAAACCAAAGGAACACATTTTTATTGGATCTCTTTCTTATCTGATATTACGTTTTTAAAATCGTGATAGAATAATTGTCTTTATTCACTTGCATTTATTTTCTCTCAATGTATTTAATTATCAACTAAAAATAAGGATAAATTATTTTTCAAATATTATTACGATAACGAATAAAATGAAATGAATGATTTGTTATATGTGAATTAGAAAAGATAAAAGGAAAATCCCATTGAATAGTAGACATAATTCGGTTTGATAATTTATAAAAAAAAAAAAAAATGAACTTTAAAGTTCAACAACGCACTCGGTTAATCTCCTATCTTTCGAAAATTCATACATATATATATTTATTTATATATTTTTGATAGATGTAAGAAAAAACGAGGCATGATGATGAAATTAACAGTTATAGTTACGAATTGTAATCCGTTATCTGTTAGCCATGAATAATCATCTTCTTGTTTATATATTTGTTTTCTCTCACATGAGGGAATTATAAGAGTTTTCGAATGTTTTATTATTCGATCTAATACCGAAACGGTAAGTAAGTAGGTAGATAGATGATGCAGAACTGTATTTTAAAGATCTTGGAATGAATGCAACATTTTCTAAATATAAAGTAGAAAATTTAATTGGAATGGATCGTCAATGTCATCTTGTATATTTCTTCGCGAGTAAAAGCATAAACTGGTTCACATCGTCTTTTTGAGTAGGCGGTCAAAGCTCTATCAAAAAGAAAAGAATAAAAAAAAAAAAAAAAGAAATAAGAGAAATTAAATGAACGAGAGAACAAAGTCGTTGGACTTGAATCGTAAGTGTACTCAAGTACCGTGAGAATCAGAATCCTTTATGATTGCACATACAAGAATATAATCTGTCGCGATACTATTGATAATAGAAAGGTCTACCGAGAAATGTGATTCGTGTGACCAGCGACACGTATACCATCAATTTACAAATTCTTATAGAAATTTTCTAATTTGAATAAGGCGAGAATGATTTCAATTGTAAAGATAGTATTCATTCTCAATTGAACACGTGTTTATAATTTTTGAACAATAGACAAAATTGAATGTTTTCATCGTCGTCTTTGTCGTCGTCCTCATCTACGATTACGTCATACTTCGTTCTTATCAAAATGAACATGAAAAACGAATGATAATAAACATACAAATCTCCTGGAAGTATTTTCATTACAGATAAAACTAACAAAAAAATAATAGAAAAAGTAAGAATTATTATAAGACTTGATACGATTAAATTGAAATATTAAAACACATATCGGCCAGAGATTAATAGAAATAGTTTATCGAACATACGAAGTACATTCAATGCATCTTTAACAGTTGTGTGACAGACTTTTGGCCACAAAACAAAATTCATCGAGAATATTATCATAGAATTAAGTTATACGAATTTGGCTTAACTTTTTGTATATTTCATCGCTTATTAGTCCTTTTAATCTTTTCCATCTGTTAAATATCTTTGTGAATTTGTGAACGTGAACATGGCTTTATGCCATTTGGCTACAAAAAAGGTACAAATTTGTAAACGTCATTGGTAATAAATCATGATGATCGACGAGCAGCGAGTTACGCACTATCAATGAAGTTAGTGGGCTTTAAATTTTCACGCGATTATGTGTTATGCAGTTTTCGGTTAAACAGTGATTTGCATAAAGACGAAAACGACGACATTATTTTTTTTTTATTGATCTTCGAAGTAGTAAGTAATTCGAATATTTATTATTATCCTATGATAATCGGATATTTTTTTTTATTTTTGTACGAAAATTTCGAATTATATTTGAATTAATTGATTATGTTTTTGTTTCATCGTATCGTTCATCTCATTCGCGACCTTTTAATTTCCTTTTTTTTTCTTCTTCCACCATGACATTACTCGTCATTCACAAAACGAACCGATTGACCTTTACCTGTGACCGAGTTCCCTCTTATCACTCCACGTCCCTTGCGTTCCTTCATTATAACTTTCCAGATCATTCTCGCTACGATCATTTCTGTTCAAGCCGACCGTCCGAGAAAAGTTAAAGCCAAGAATGTTCCTGTGAAGTGATTCCTCCGGGAAGATTGTCTCATCTTGGGGAAATCGTATCCACCTGCCTACTCCCCAAAATTATTTTCATGTTTTAATGAAGCTTCGTGTGCGTAAATATATTATAAAACATTCTTTTACTTTATCAAAAGTTAATGACTAACTTTATAACTGCATGAATAAATAAATAAATAAATAAATAAATAAATAAATAAATAAATAAATAAATATATATATATATACAGGGTGGGTCACCACATTTTACCACTTTGATTTACGTTTTTATTATGACGCGTAGCAGACAATGTTT